AAAAAAATCGTAAATTCCACACCTGCACAATTTTCTGAGTCACTGTTTGAGTGTTTACTTAAGTACTTAAGTATTAGTTTTAATGTGTTTTAACTCTAATTTTTTTATTGTATTTTTTATGATTTGGGGTTTAGCTCACCTATATTTGTAAGGATTTGTTTTTTTGCTTATTGACGCTTCATTGTTGCGCTTGTGTTGGTGAATATATATGTATTTATATATATATATATATGTAATATATATATGCTTGGTATATACTCAGTTTTACAAAAATTAGCGTATTATTTAAAAATAGATTACTTTAATAAACAATTTCACAAATTCACGCAGAATGCTACGCTTTCTTTCAGTTGTTSTTTTTGTGCAAGATATTTGTTGTTGTACAAATTTTAGAGCAAGCCTTAGATTCTGCAAATATTAGTTCTTTCTCCATAATCTTGTTTTCATTAAATATTTTTGTGATTTCTCTTTCTCTCTCTCTCTCTCTCGCGCGCCTTTAGCTCTTGCTCTYTTCAATTTATTTTAATTTTATTTCAATTACTTTTATATTGCTTTAATTTTTTATTATTAATTTTAGTGAGTGTTTAAGTTTTTTATTAATTTTATTATTGATTTATTTGTTTTTGTTGTTGCTTGATTTGTGAATTCAGTGATTTTTTTTTAGGTAAGAGTAGTAGTTTGATGTCCTTACCCCTGCGCCGATGACACTGGAATACTGCCGTAGTTGTAGTAATAGCATCGGGTTTGTTCGCAAATGAAATCTTTCACAGCCGAACAGTCTTCGGGCATCCATTTCAATGTGGGTTGTTTCAAAATGACGCAACCCTTCTCAGCGCCGCTACTGCTGTAAAGGGTCAAATAAGTGTTGTACGAAAGTGTAAAGTGAGAAACTTGATTTATATAAGATTTCTTGATTAAAGTTAAATAATATATTTATTTATACTACAAGAACCTTAAGCCTGATCTGTGTTTCTGAGTTATGTAGCTGAGCTTGAGTAATCTCACTTTCAGTCTTATTGAAGATATGAGCATGAAAAATGTTCTTGAAGTACTAGTTGCGAATTTTTTCCAAGGTTTCTCAGAGAGCTCAACTCAATATTTCGATACTTTTTCTCCTATTTATGGTCTACACWGCTTTGCGAAAGTTTCTAATGCCTATGATAGATATGGAACCTATTTAACGTAATAATCTACAGCTCCCGATGCTCCAAATTTGGAGACATTGATTAGCCGGGATGGAAAAAATTTGGGTTTTGGCAAAATCCACTGTATTAGGTTTTATTTGGTTACCACCTGGGARCACAATGGGTCTACTGATGGCTTAAGTGAGGCCGCCTCCGTACCAGTGTTCCCTTTTCAACCACCTTTATCGTAGTATATTGACATAGAATACRGACTTTCTTTTTTTTGTGGAAATTGAAGAGGTTCTGTGGAGGYTTTCGGCTATAGTTAGCTGGGAAACCTTAAAAACATAACTAGRGGTATAGCTAGGAACTCTTTAAATGTTTTTGATGTAAACAGAGTAAGTAAACACTGCTTAAGGGTAAAGCCTTAAACCGAATGAGGACTTTGTCAAATACAGAATTTGTTTGTCGTGTCCTTCGAAATTAGGAGCTCAGAAAAGATCAGCAAAGTAGATCTAAGTTTTATAAAAAGTGTAGAGTAGAAACGATTTGAGCTTTTGCTATCAATAGCTGCTTTTTTGTGAGATCCCACAAAACTCCTTCAATATATTCAGAACATAGCGACCTATTCAATTAAGACCTCGTAAGAATCAGTCACTATACTAGATCAACTCTAATAATAACTTTCATTTCTGCTTTCTACAAGAGTTTACCGCGCCACGTTCTACGAACTTAATGACATAGACTTAAGACAAATATCAACTGTAAAGCGTAAACGTTCACTTACCTGTCGCGCGCCGTCCGTTGTGGCGATGTATTGCTATTGTGATCGACAGGATCGAGCAGACCAGCCTGTATGGCATCGGCTGAATTCTCGAAGAAGTCAAAGGTCGCATTAAACGGCAGGCCGGTGCTCATCCATAGGAACATGCCGGTACCCAAACGATTGCCGGAAGTCCAGAAATCATAATTACCATAGCCGGCATTCTTCAGATATGTCGTCATAGATTCGGCTTTCTCTTTCGTTTCGAACGACGCCAATTGCAGACCCAACGAACGACAATACTGATAGGCGAGAAAGTAGTTGAGCTCGGGCGAATAGGGATTCATGCGGCTAATGAAGTATTGTACGCCATCCAGGTGTATGGTGGTGATGCGTTGACCTGTGCATATAAAGTGTGTGTGTTGTTGAAGATTATTCAATTTCATTTTGATTGTGTGGAGTGTGTGTTGCATAAATGCATAAATTATATGAAATTTTATCTTTTTATTTTTTGAATTTATTTTATTGCCTTTCTCTTTTCTTGTACTGTAAATATGTAAGTAGGTGTCTCTAYATATATACGGATATATGGCTCCACGTGGTAGCAAAGCGCCACATAAAATAAATAAAAATATATTCAGCTATAAAAAAGCGAAAAC